AGTGTGGGATGTATTTCCATTTGTTTGTGTCACCTGTAATTTCTTTTATCAGTGTTTTGCAGTTCTCCTTATTAGAGACCTTCCACTTCTTTAGTTAATTCGTTCCTTGGCATTTTGTTTTCTTTGTAGCTATTGTAAATGGTATTGAGTCCCTGATTTGACTCCCACCTTAACTGTTGTTAGTATATAGAAATATTGCTGCTTTGTGTACATTAATATTGCAACCTGAGACTTTTATGAATTTACTTATCAATTCTTAGAGTCTTTTGGTGGAGTCTTTAGATTTTTCTAGATATAAGATCATATTGTCAGTGAACAGAGATAGTTTGACCTCCTGATATGAATACCTTTTTTTTCTTTCTCTTGCCTTATTGTTCTGACTAGGAATCCAGCGCTATGTGGAATAGACAGAGTGACAGTAGGCACCCTTGTTTTATTCTAGTTCTTAGTGGGAATGCTTTCAACTTTTCCCCATTCAATATGATGTTGGCTGTGGGTTTGTCTTATATGGCTTTTATAAGGTTGAGGTGAACTCCTTCTAAGCCTACTTTGTTGAGGGTTTTTATCATGAAGGAGTGCTGGGTTTTATCGAATGCTTTTTCTGCATCTATTGTGATGATCATTTGGTCTTTGTTTTTACTTTTGTTTATATGGTAAATCATATTTATTATTTATATGTTTACATTTATTGTTTATATTATTTATACACTTTTGTTTATATTGTATTTGTTATACTGTATTTGTGAATTGTATATATTAAACCACCCTTGCAAACCTAGGATGAAACCCATTTGATCATAGTGAATTATCTTTTTGATGTGCTGCTAAATTAGCTTTGCTAGTATATTGTTTAGGATTTCTGTATCTATGTTCATAAGAGATATTGGTCTGCAATTTTCTTTTTCTGTTGTTGTTGCTATTGTGTCCCTTCCTGGCTTTGCTTTCAAGGTGATACTTGTTTTGTAGAATAAATTAGGGAGGATTCCCTCCTTCTTAACATTATGAATAATTTCTGTAGTTTAGGTACCAGTTCTTTGTAGGTCTGGTAGAATTCTACTGTGAATCTATCTGGTCTGGGGCTTTTTTTGTTGTTTTTTGGAAATTTATTTTTTTATTATTACTGCTTCAATCTCTCTGCTCATTTTTAGTCTGTGTAAGATTTAAATTAATTCCTGATTTAGGCTTGAGAGGTTGTGTGTTTCTGGGACTTTATCCATTTCCTCCATGTTTTCTAGTTTGTGTGCATAGGAGTTTTGGTGGTATTCATAAAACCACATGATATTTTGTATTTCTATGGTATAAATTATAATGTCTCCTTTTCATTTCTGATTGAGTTTTTTTTTAATTCTTTCTCTTCTTTTTCTAGTTAATCTGGCTAGTGATCTATCAATTTTGTTTATCTTTTCAAAGAACCAACTTTTTATTTGTTCATCCTTTGTATTGTTTTTTTGGTTTCCATTTCATTTAGTTCTACTTTTATTTGTTTTGTTTTTCTGCCTGTTTGGGTTTGGTTTGCTTTTCTTTGTATAGTTCCTTGAGATGTAAGATTAGGTTGTTAATTTGTGATCTTTCTGTCTTTTTGATGTAGGCATTTAAGGCTATGAATTTTCCCCTTAGGAATGCTTTTACTGTATCCCATAGATCCTGATAGCTTGTCTATTTTTTTTTGGTTCAAGGAATCTCTTGATTTTCATCTCAATTTCCTCATGGACCCAAGGATCATTCAGCAGTAGGTTGTTTAATTTCCATGACTTTGTGTTTGAGTGTTTCTCTTGGAATTGATTTCTAGCTTTATTCCACTGTGGTCTGTGAGGACACATGGTATGATTTCAATTTTGTTTTGAATTTGCTGAGACATTTTGTGGCCTAAGAGATGTACAGTCTTGAACAATGTCCCATGTGCTGATGAGAAGAGTGTATATTCAGTAGTTTTTGAGTAAAATGTTCTGTAAATGTCTGTTAAGTCCACTTGCTCTAGAGTCTCATTTTAATTCAGTATTTCTTTATTGATTATATGCTTCAATGATCTGTCCAGTTCTGTCACTGGGGTGTTGAAGTCCCCAGAAATTACTATGCTATTGTTTATTTCTTTGCTTATATCTAATAGAAAGGAATTTTGCTTAAGCTTTTTATAAGGCTTAGATTGAACATTTGCCTCCTTAAGGAAATCTTCCCAGATAAGTAAAGATTAAATTCCATACTCTTCCTATGTGCTCACATGTGATTAAATTTAGTACTTGGACTATTGCTTTGGAATAGGCTGTTTACATATCTTTTTCCACTCTTCCCTCTTAAGCTTCTTAAAGAAAGATACTGCATATTTTCCTTCATTCTTTCAGCAGTGCCTTGGTAAATAATTAATCAATAGATTCATGAGGGAAATAAATGCCAAAGGAATTAAATTAGAAATTGGTTTCTCATGGGAAAGAATTTTTTTTTTTTTAAGATATAAAATGGTCACAATGCTAATGGCTAAAGGACAGTGGATTGAATTACAAAATAATTCCCCATCGGAAAGTCTTTTTATCTAAGATATATGGCATGTATACACCTATATTTAGAAATGGATAGAAATGATCCAGCTGAGGAAATGGTCTACATGAATTTAATATTTTTTTTCTGGTATGGTAAGCCGTGTGACCTATTTATATATTATTGTAAAATGAAATGAGAGTACATTGTAACATGACCACACACTTCATAGTTTTCAAAGCTAAAAGGCATATTTATTTTTCCTTTTATTCTTTTTATTCAAGGTTTTAAGGTGTCCTGTGACTATAATATCTATCCTAAGTATACTGACAAGAAGATCTAGTACTGAGTGGCAGACTTCAGCTGGCATCACTTAAAGTGGCATTTAAGCGAGCTATGTGTTATTTCCTAGTGGACTATAGTACTTGAGTATCTTAGAAATCTTACTAATTAAGATTGTTTTATTTGCTCTTACACATAAGCATTTCCACTTTGACTACTATAAGTAATTGGCCAATCACAAATGCTTCCTTAAAAATCATGTAGAAGTAAGCATATTTTAAAAATGTAGTAAAAATGAAGAAGACATAATATTATGAATCAAATCAACAATGCCTTCTATTTTAAGGTGAAAGCAGATCTGTTTGTTTAGGATATAATTAAGCATAAGCTTGGAATTGAACCTTAACCTTAAAAGAATAATAATTGGACTGGCTTAAAAAATGCTTCATTATAAATTATAGTGATGTTGCAGGAGCAACTTGAATAAAGTTAAATTGACCACAACTTAATTTCTAGCTAATCTGTAGGATCATGTAGTTTGGCATAAATAGCAATAGCCTTGGAAACAAAACTCATGGGCTGAGATTCCCCTATACTAGAATCTTACCAGTGGTCTAAGTTTAGACAAGTCCCCTCTTCCATTCCCCATCTATAAAATAATGGCCCTGAAGGCCACACCTATGACCAGATGGTCTCTAGAGGTTCCTTTCTCTTAGAAAGTCTTTTGTAAAACAACTTTGTGAGACACACACACAAATCTTTTAAAAACTTCAATTACTCTAAAATATTAGATGAGGTTTTTAATCAAGGGACAACACAATAACTGGCCCATGGATTCTCAGCAAATATGTCACTATGGAAAAAGCTGAATATAAGATACAAGTGAGGATTATGGAATGGTAACTCTTCTGTTCTTGCCATTGCTGTTTTTTACGTTTTAAAAAGGTCTTTGGAAATAATTTCTAGGTAATTCATACTCTTACAGTGCTGAAAGAAATGCATGAGGAAATTGAGGTGCGGATATGTATAAGTCTAAGTGACAAAACCAATAGTAGAAACCAATCTTCTCGACCTCTGTGTGTTTCCTCTATATGTTGCTCTACAGTATTCACTATCCTTTATAATAATAATTTTTATTTAGTAAGGCTACTTTGATAAAGAGAGAAAGAATTGGTGGTGTGGTTGATATGTTTTGATGTTGTATGTATGCTTTTTAAAAAATCAGTTTTTACTGATCATATCAACATGAGTAATCAAATGTACTACTTTTTCATCATTTAAAGAGAAGCACTAGGCTGCTGCTAGTCAGTATCATTTTTCAACATTTATCCTACTAATAATGACCTTTCTGGCATTCTGTTGTAACCTGTACCACAAGCTGTATATTTCCATTCAATGAGAGTCTGGCTAGGGACTCAAAGATTTATTACAATGGGATAGATTATATGGAAATATAAATAGGCTAGTGGTCTTGGGATTTCATGGAAAAGAAAAGAAAAAAAAGCTGCATCATATAAATAATGTGCCATGAACAGAAAACTATTCACAAAGGTATTTCATAGTAGACTAAATAAATTTATAAATTATTTTCTAAGGTAAAAATAAAATAGTCCTCCTTTGTGAGATGACCTATATCACAGCATGCTAACAAACCTCAACCTCCACTGCCAAGTAAGATTTAGCTAGGACAAGTCTTGTACAAGTAGTGTGTTGACAGTCAACCCATATGGATAGATGAAGTGCCAAATTAGTTTGGAAAGCAGAGTCGTGCCCAAGGATTAAATAAAAGATAATTTGTATTCTAGCCTTTGTGCCATCAAACTCTGAATTCATTTACTACTGCAATAATCAGATCATCAGCACTAGGAAAGTTCAGCTTAGTTCAAAGCATTGACCTGCATTTTTATGGAGACAAACTTTGGAGGTGATTTATGTATATATCCAAGGAAACCTTTACCTGTGCAAGTTTGATTGGATTCATCTTCATTACTCCCACAATCATTAGCTCCGTCACAAAGCCATCTCTTGGGGATGCAACGATTACTCTGGCATTTAAACTGATCATCAGGACAACTATGATTGACTGAGATGGAAGGGAAAGCAAGTTTAATTATTTAAAATTGGATAAAGTTATGCATATTTTGAATTATAGTTATAGAAAAGTTACAGTACTTATAGTATAATAAATGCCATAGCATGTCATTCATTATCATATTTTATAAAAATATTAATATTCTAGGCTTTGATAAAATATAACATTTTTATAGAAAACATCAAGTAATTAAATCTCAAATAAAAGAAAATATACTCATTTTTCATGTCTCCACTAAAATCAACTATATTACTATTTGTTTCCTCATCCCTTATCACAGCTGGTGACCCAATTTCAAAATATTTTACAAAAACATTTAAAATTAACCTCAAATTTTAATGGTAAACATAATAAGTATGTATCACAAATAATTTAGTTATATATATTAGGAATACTTATGTTTTAGACCACACAACCACTCAAATATTTCTTAAAATATCAAATAAGCTTACTGTTATTCTGCTTTGACAAATGTTTCTTAGAAACAGAAGGAAACACCCAGAAAAGAAAAGCACATTACTTGTGACCTAGACTTGGTGCTAGATATGAGATCCTGTATAATTTTAATAACAAAGAAGATCATCATCAGTTTTCTTCCCTAGAACAAACAAATAAACATCTAACCACAAAAAAATACTGAAGAAGAGGCAATTCTCCTATGGGAAGCTGTGCACAGCTAAGGATTAAACCTCCAATATCTGAGCACAACAGGGGGGCCATCTTAATGTTAACCTTCTATGATTATTTTTCCTGCATTCTGGAGGCTAAATTCCTAACTGAATTGGCATGCTCTTTGATATTTGTTTCACAATTTCAACATTCTTTTTAAAGTAATTTTCTTTATGCCCAGTGGTAGCACTTCTATATGATAAGAATGAATTTTGGTATTAGTTTTACTGAGAGTTTGAGAAATTGTCATTTTATCATGCTGTTGCATAGCAAATGTGTGCATTTCCCGTTAGTTTCTACAAACACTTTTTCCTTTAGTTTTGATGATAAAGTGGTTTTATCACTTTTTAGAAAGTTTTTATTTATGTAAAGTAAAAAAAAAAAACAAATTTGGGGAAAGACTTTACATTCTCTAGCATTTGAGCACAATTTACATTTTCTACTCACTTCAGGGACTTTAGCAGAAATAGCTGCCCCGAGAAATAAATGTTATCTGATATATCTCAAAGGGCCAACATTTTAAGGTACCAAAATTATGCACATTTATTTCAGTGATGCTTATCAAGGACTTTTGTGATTTTCATCAATGAAGTAAAAGGAAATTCAAATGTAGAGTTTTGGTTTGGAGTTGAAACACTGAGGACAGAAGTAGAATGATAACAAAATTCAAGGTCATAGGTTATGAGTATCTAAAATCAAAGATAATCCTCTGAAATTACTTATCTAGTATTGGAATACTAACTATGTCACCCCAGAAGTATAATCATTGTGATGCTGACAAAAGACACCATATTGCTGGAAGGTGGCCAGAGATGTTGAGCTGTTTATTGTCTCACTGATTTAATAATTCATTCTTCCAAGTGTCAGGTGCAGTGCTAGACTCTAAGACTGCAAAGATGCTACAGCATAAGGCATCTTCTCAGGAAGATGTTAATATATTATATGCCCCAAATAAGCAAGTATACAATTGCAATATGATTTGACAACTACTATAATTAAGAAATGTACAGAAGATGAATACTTCAGTCCAATAAAGTTATATTGAGGAGATTTTTTTGGTGATCAAAAAAGACTTTCCTAAGGAGGTAATGGTAAACTGTGTTGAATTCTTTAGACCAGGAACAGTCAGTACAGTCACAGAGGAGAAAACTAGAATGACATGTTTTAGAGATCTACTTGTAGTTCAACTTCATAAGGACAAAAAGGGTAAGTGGATGCATGATAGACTAAAGGTTAGAAATGTAAAGACGAGACAGAACAAGAATTACCTTATATATGAGCCAATAGATTTTAAAATTTATCCCTGTTGGTTGTTATGCAGTATGGAAATAACAAGAATTGATTTATTTGATAATCATCATTCTGAAATCAGTGTGGAAAATGCGCTTTAGTTAAAGGTGGAATAGTGTAGGAATGATAGAAAGGCACATATTAAGTTAATCTATGATGAGAGCCTAATTTAGGCAATGAAAATTGAGAGGAAGTAAGATTTAAAAAATAATTATTTAGGAAGTAAAAGAAATAAAATTTACTGATAGAATTGAGTATGAGTTATAAGTGCAATAGAAAGAAGACTAGCAAAAACTCATGGCTTGAGTGATGAAATGGAAAATGATAATAACCAAGAAAAATTACTGATTAGAAACTTTAACATTTATTAACAGCACAAATGCAATACACCCTATACATTCATAGAGAAGATGCGTTTTCTTGTTTAGTTAATAGACAATACAAGTCACACAAATGAAAGCATGGACCTGAAGAACTAATACATAAATATTTGATGAAATATTTGTGCTCTGCTCAGGCACTGGGTTCCTGCAACTACAGAGGAAGCTGGTATGTAGGGAGCATTCATTAAAACCATAAATAATGGTGCTGATTGTGAATTAGAAGGAGTGAGGGAATTAAATTAATCACTAAATAATACATCATTTATGTAAAAAAAGTAGGGAAAAAAACCCTTTTTTCCCCCTCAATGAAATGCTCTTCTTGCTCTGTAACTTTTGGCTAATTGTGTCAATTTGTACTTAAGATTTTTATTTGTTAGATATTAGTGAGGCTGAAAATAAGAAGCACATAATGTTGAAGTCAGGGCTGATGTCTGGAAACCAGAAAAAAGTAATGCTGTATTTATGCATTAATTATAATTTATGTATTATATTTTAATATATAATTTGAAAATATTTTTTAAAGTCCATATTCTTGGGATTTTTTTCCAAAGCACAAATAGTTGAATATAGATACTCAGACCAATTTTGTAAGTTCTTAACAAAAGACCTTTAAAACTTCATTTTTATATTCTTAATTTAAAAAAATAGAAAATGGAAGACTGTCACTTAGTTCAGTCACTTTAATTTAAAAAAAAAGTCATTAATTAAAAAAAATATTTTTTTAAAACAATGTACCTAGGTCAAATCCAAAGGTACATTTGTCCAATGTATTTTGCTTTATATAAAAATATTTTATATTTTTCAATGCCATTCATCTAGTGACTTTAATCAAATATATTCTCAAAATATTATTTAATATATTATACTTTCCAAATATTTTCCTAACATGTATGTGGGAAATTTCCTTATCCTTACCAGAAACATAAATCTATTCCTATTCTAGCAGATGATAAATAGCTATATAGAAGCCAAAGGGGAAAAAAAAAACAAGCCTTTTATTTCTGAGTGCCCCATATGTGTTTCCTACCATGGACTGTGCCAGTGAAGCTAGGTAATGACATGTTCCAGACCCATGTCTGTTTCCTTGGATCTTCTTCAAGGCTCTGATGCCAAGGAGCAGCGGAGTGGATCGTGACCTTCTGTACAAATAATTCTATCTTGAGGGGGTTTAAATTGATTTTCTACATCTTTAAATTAAAAAATCCAAAAGGGTCCCCTATAACAACCTCTGACAGTGGTGTGGCAGTGCTGACACCATACCATAGAAAAGAAAAGATTTTTGGAACAACTAAAATGATAATGTGAAGTAAGAGAAAAGATGTGAAAACCACTGCTTTAAAACTATGCAAAGGAAGCAATCTATGGTCTAATCTTTATGCAAAAGGATAACTTAGAAATAAAACTAAAATCCTATTTGCATCAAAGATATTTTCAGGTTTTGACAAACTGCTTTGATAATCCACATATTCAAAGACTCAGGGAAATGCAGTTTTAAGTTTAATCGAAGGAGAACATACAACAATTTACTGAATCCTCATCACTCCCGTCTAGGCAGTCATCATCTCCATCACATTTCCACCGAGCTTGGATACAGTATCTGTTTTTGCAGCGAAATTCTCCAGCTTTACATATGTGAGGTAATACTTCTCCAGGATTAACTAGAATTAAAACAAACAAATAAACAAAACAACAACAACAAAAACAAGGTATATGAACAATGCTAGCTTATTCAGTTCATTAAAAGTAAATTTTGTGGAGTTTTGTTTATTTGCTTTAGATTCCACATACAAGTGAGATCATGCAGTATGTATCTTTGGTTTATCTCACTGGGCATAATGTCATCCATGTTCATCCAAGTTGTGAAAACGACAAAATTTCCGGGTTTTGTTGTTTGAAGGCTAAATAATATTTCATTACATATGAGGATATATATTTTAAGTCAAATATATAGAGAATAAAACAGTGGTTACTAGGTATTGGGGGTAGAGAGGAAAAAAGGAGATGTTGGCCAAAGGCACAAAGTTGCAGATATGTAGGATGAATAAATCTGCAAATCTATGGTACAACATAAAGACTATAGTTATAGTATTCTATTGTATACTGGAAGTTTGCTGAGAGTAGATTTTAGGTGTTCTTACCATACACATGAAATGGTAATTATAAGAAATCATGGATATATTAATTTGCTTGACTTTAGTAACCATTTCACTATGTATATCAAAATATCATGTCGTACACATTAAGTATACACAAAAAATTATAATATCCCAAAATTTAGCATACTTTATATCCAAAAATAGGATACCCACATAAAACTTACAAAATAGTTTTCATAACATTAAATAATATTTAATAATCTAACACACAGAAAGATAAAGAAGTAAATTTTGTTATAACAAAATATAACAAAATATTCTCATTTCACTTTATGGAAAAATACCACAACAACATTTCATTGACTGTCACTTCTGAGAATGAGAAAATTTTAAGTTTTTCTGACATAATCATTATACTATGTGAAAAGTGATCATATAAAGTGAGTCACTATTGTCACACTCAACTAAAACAGAGCCGAAAAGCCAAGGGGGAAAGAGTTCAGGGCACATAACTTGCCTCGAGATATAATTCTCTGCAAACTTGGCTGCTGAAACTGTTGTAACATGAAAAAGTTTTATCCAATAGCTATTGAAACAATCTACCATGACTCAAAGGCTAGTTTTACCCACCATCGTCACTCACCAGTTTGCCAGCTCTCCCAAACCTTACTAGTGCCAATAAACTTTGTGGCAAAACAATACACATTTTTCCTTTTTATAACACATCCAACCTCCTCTTTGTCCTTTGGATATACCAAAGACCACCTGGTCTGTGTGTATATCCTGAATTACAATTATTACTTCACAAGTAAAACATTTTAAACATAAAGATTTGTCTCTATGTTTTATTTGATTTTAACAACTAATATTTTGAAAGATTTATTTTAAACAACTGTCACTAAAATAACGACATCAACAACAATAATACAATACCACTTTTTATTTATAGTTTGTAGTTTTGCCTTTCAAAGGGCTTTCATTCATAATCTTACGTGACCATTATTATAAACTATGAGGTAGGTATGGCAAATACTTTTACTACCCCCATCTTATTTTTAAGTACACCAAGAATTAATCAAAGTGAAAAGACAATGCAATAGCACACATCTTTGATGGTTATATTTACTTTGCTGTTCTGCAAAAGGGAGAAAACTTAAGGTCTAGTTGAGGATTTTAGAAAATATTATGTCATTCAAAGCTATCTCTTTATGTATCAGGATTTTGTGGAGTGTTATTTTCTCCATATATTCTATGCTTTCTAATCAAATGTTAGGAATTCAGTTAAGCAGGACTTATTTACAAATTGAATGTGTTACTATTCTTCTGTTCTCTTTGAGTAGATTAGAGTCTAGAAAGAGCAAAGAATATGTGACAATGGTTAAAGTAAATTATTTTTTTTTCATGGACTCTAAACGACCTTGAATTATCTCAAGCTGGTTTATTGCTAGGAGAAATAAAAGATAATCCTTCCATTCCTGTTCTAGTGGTTTTAAATTTTACTTTGGATAAGTGGTTTGGGCTGAAGAACTGTCATAAAATGTTTGTACATTCCAATAATAAGTGATACCAAAAAGAACATATGTGACATTTCCATAACTGCTTGCATAGGGCTCCTTGAATCTTTGTTTCTTCCCTACAGCAAAGAATGGAAGAGGGAACGTGACTCTGGAGCCATGCCTGCAGGAAACTGCTTTAGAGAGTCAAGCAGCAAGGCACCAGGCATGTGAGTTTGTGGGGCTGGAAAATAAAAGCTACCACAGTAGACATAGACTCTTATTTAAGGCCCAAAAGAATCACTATGGTGAATGAAATATTCAATTAGAACAAAGGTAAACTTGTTTCTTTGGGCCCCTCCCAGTTAAGCCAAGACCAGATACATGGGCTGACAATAATATTTCCTCCCTGTTTAATCTTTCTCAGTAACAAAACACTGAAGCAGCAATTTCTCCATGATGCCATTTCTCTAAGATCACTTGAAAATAAGAAACCGTGTGTGTGTGCGTGCACGCACACGCAAAAATATAAACACAAAGAGAAGAGGTCATTTGGTCTCCTATTCAAACCTAAGAGACCTTTTACAGCAGCAACTGGGAGTAGGATTGAAATCATAACAAAGTAGAAGTGCACTCTAGGATTGTCTAACTATCTCTAGGATCAAACTTTGCTCTCAAAATCTCCAGAATTGACTACCAATAACAAGCAAATATTTCTTATTTTGAGTTTGAAGTCTAATCAGACTCTAAGATCTTAGATGATGGTATTTTTTTTCTTCTTTAGAATCCATATATTGCCCAGCCTATACGTAGGCACTTAGTGAAGAGTAGTTTGATTAATTTCAACTTTATAATTATTAAGCCTAATAGTCAACAGTCTATCATATTTTTTTTAAAAAATGCAGTCACACGAAGAACCTGACTTAAGATATAATCAGCTTCCTCCTCAATTTAAAGTTCAGCTTTAAGATTTTCTGCAGTGTCTCTAAGTTGACCTCAAAGAAATATTAATAGTAAGAAAATTCCATTGTTTTGTAGCTTAAGAATTTTGAAACACAAAAAATCTTTTGTTTTAGTCTAATAATAGTCTCATTAATTTAAAAAGCTTGGCCTTCACATGGTCATTTGAGCAAGTATGTCAACCCAGTTTTCCTGTATACAAAAAGAAAATTATTGTTGCTTCTGAATAATCACATCTACATTAAAGAATAGCAAGACTTCCAGGGAAAAGCCAACTACCTGAGACAATTGATATTATTAAACTAAGTATTCATTAAAATAATCAAATTAAGATAATTTAAATCTACTTAGACTTCAAATGTTTTTCAAGCAATATGTAGGTCATTAAGTAATCAGTGCAGATGCGCAGAATGTCCAAACTGGTTTTAAACACGGATTCAAATATAAATGTATAGTCAGTTACTTTTAAAGGATTCTTGTATTAACAAAGATGGCAATCTTCAAAATAACATGAAAACAGTGTCAAATGTTTCATTTTCATTTTTCTTAACAGGTTATGCATAATTACTTGAAAACCAGTAGAGTTAACCTACTGAGATAATTTCATCTTTTCATATTTTCTGCTTCTGATATTGGTCTATATCAATGTTATTAATGTATATCAATATCACTGATAATAGCAGTGAGTCATTGTCTTCTCCTGTAATAACACGCCATAATGAAACGTATGTAAATGTCTTTGACTTCTAAATTTTTTTCTGCAATTATTCTAAGCCTCATAACATGTTAGATGGGAGGCATTTCTCCATGGCATTTCTTCATATCTTTTATCAGCTTTTGCTCTACATTCTTTTTTTCCACGGATGCTTATATAGCTAAACAGCCTTGAAAGATAGAGATAGTGCTTCCTTCTGTGTCAGAGAACAGGGTTTTTTTTGTTTGTTTTGGTTTTTTGACCAGGATAGTAAACATGTCTCCCTCTAGGGCAAACACTGGGAAGATTTTCTAGCAGACACCTTAAAAGATTGGGGATTTCTGCCTGACAAAGATGATCAAGGGAAAAAATATATAAACAAACAAACAAACAAACAAACAAAAAAGATTGGGGGTTTCCTAAGTTCAGGGTTCTTTAGTTGTGATACAGACTCACTGTATTTACACCATTGCCTCCATATGAATTAGGTTTGGGGTGAAGAAGAAGCAATGCAAACATGAAAATTATACTGCCTGCTGTGTATGAGTGATAAAATCCTTTGTGTCTGATCCAGGAACTTTGTATCTTCTTTCAAAATCCATGAATCTCTGGCAGGCTATCATGTGAATTTGCAACCAGGGACCTCAGATCCTTCATCATCATTCTTGACATAATAGTAAAGGTTTGGGGATTGTTGTTTTTGTTTTTTGTCATTTTTGTTTATTTTTTAGATTATGATCTCCAAAGTCTCCCAGGAAATAAGGGACATCACTACTTAATTCTAGCACTAACCTGATCCTTCCAGATGTAATCAATAGTTATGTCACAAAGAAACCACATTATCATTGATAACTATCAAGTTTGTTCAGGATTCCTGATGAGAGAAGTCAGGTTACTTTTGAGTTAAACATGTTCATTATCAGGGAAACATTTAATGTGATATGTGATAATCTGGATAAGATGGCATCTTAGAAGTTCAAAATGCATGGTCTTTTCCCCAGCATTGACCTAGCAAGGTGGAACTGAATGGAAAAGTCATGTATCATAACACTCCAGCCAATCGGCAATATATCAACTTTGCTAAGACTTACAAAGATGATGAAGCAAGGATATTTAGCATCACATAAGAGAGGAAATGGCTCCTCTAAATATTAAGATTAATATTCTTTGTATACTTTGCAAAAATCTCTGTAAAGGATTTATTTTGTAATTACTTCTCACAAATCTGATGTCTCCACTAGAAGAGTCTCTTCGATGTAGAAAGGACAATGTCACATGTGGAAAAGCACAATGCCTAGAACAGAACTGGACATAGAGTTTATGCTCAAAATTATTTGTTGCCTGACTTACTGGAATTAACAGAAAGATCACTGTTATTGTAGTGAGAGATTCTATCTCTGGGGACAGTATAAATCTTTCAGGAAAACAATCTCATTTCAACTGGTTCATCAACTTATTCTCTCCTCTCAACACCCAAAAACATGGATGAAGTTAGTTTAATTTAAAAGAAATATAGTATATATATATATAGTTATAATTATTATAAGAGGAGAGGATGAGAGGAGAAGAGAGGAGATAGAGAGATAGAGATAGAGAGAGAGAGAGAGAGAGAGAGAAAGGAGAGAAAGCTTTCCTCCAAACTTAGAAAAAGTAAATATATAGTTAAAGCTTGATGTATGCCATTTTGTTCCAATGCTTAATGTGACTGAATCTATATAGTACTTGGGTGTTTGAGCACAGCTATAAATTGCTTTTAGTATGTCATCTACTTCTAGAATTGCAAGCTTTGCTTTGGAGTTATGTTTCAATGCAAATTTGAAAACTAATACAAAACCTGTAATTCCACTACCAAGACAACTTCTAGTAAAAATTTTACAACATGACCTCATCAGTAAGAAATTGAGAAAGTGATAAGTAATCCTTTAATATAGCCAGAATCAAAAATAAAATAACAGGCCTGGTGTGGTGGTTCATGCCTGTAATCTCGGCACTTATGGAGGCCAAGGTGGGAGAATTGCTTGAGCCCAGGATTTCAAGACTAGCCTGGGCAACATAGTAAGATCCTGTCTCTACAAAAAACTAATAGAATAAAATAACATGAATCATGACATGCTTGACATGGAACTGCTAGTTGTTATACATCCTGTAGTACCTGCTATTAGAGCAATGAAATCCAGAGGCCTGTGTATGACTCTCCAAGTTACTACAAAGGGAAATATGAATTCTAGAATTATTTTTATTTGGTAAAAGCCGTCATGGTCACTGCTAGAGCTAACGTCAGGTCATAATGAAGTGAAGGACAAACCTTATGAATAAACTGTTTTGTTGTATTTTATTTTATTTTTGAATCATCTCAGATTTGCATCTCAGCTCAGCAACTAGACTCAATACATATTCCTGACCTTAGTTTAATAAGCTGTGTTGTGTATGAATGAGTGCTTGTGATTCTAACTTTACTTTTCCTCTTTTCAAATTCATTGTAGTGATCTATTCTAAACAAATATCCTCCTTCAATTGATATTTTTCTGTTAACTTTATCAAAATTATGATAACTCAGTTAAAAAAGCATTAGTCTGAGTGCAAAAAATAAAACCTCCCTTCCTTCATGTCTAACATTATGATATATTTATTGTTCTAACTATTTCTTGTGTGTATTCATTTTGAGATTATAGAATCTCCTATTACCTCTTTATTTGAGCAGGGAGAGAGAAGAACCAAATAGAAAAGTTGAATGACTTTAGGATGTTGTTTGTTGGATTCCTTTATATAAGTTCACCTACACAGGAAGACAGTGTGAAAAATGCTGCTGTGGGTTTTGATTTTTCTCCTTTAGATCACAGAAGGATGACCTTTCATTAGATAGAAAGGTCTTCTGAGCAGCCAACCTAAGTAGTACATAATCTTCTGTGAGTTCCTTTGCACAGAAGGCCATAAATATTTATCTGGATAGGGCTTCTAAACATTTTACTGCCTTAAACTTTTTACTACACATTAGATTGCATATATCCTAGAACATAAGGCTTGTCACAACTGAGCAGATAAATGGTTCAGCATAGTGAAGGACTGTTTCTGACAGAGGAATATATCTGATGTTCCAGAAGGTGATAAAGGTCACAGAGTACCACTGACACATAATTGTGCAATGCTATCCCTTGGATAACCAATATTTTTGCAATGTTCTAGTTGCCCTCCTGTGAGTAAGGCACATTGTAAAGTTCTGTCTTTTCTTTCAGGCCACTAAAGAAACATTTAAAGAATTACTATTTCATTACATTAGACAAAGTAATCCCACTTTTTAAAATTTTTTAAATAGTGACTTAATTTTTTTGGGGGCTTATTTTCTTTTTTTGGGTTCTTTCTTTTTTTCATTTTTTGTTTTTTTTTTTTTTGTTTTTCCCCCCAAGGTTTTAAAAGAAATATAAAATTTACTTGATAATTATTCTCAGGTGCAGTAAGTTTCAACTTACTAAGCTACACACCAGACATCTTTTCTAGTTGTGAGAGGATTTGGCCATGGGAGACTAGATTCATAAGGACAAAGAGTCCAGCCTACACTCATTTTTCATTCCTTCCAAG